TATAATACAAGGAGCATGCTTTCACTCATTGAATGTTGGTACGCGCATCAATCCAAATATTTTTTGACCGCATGCAAAATTATTCTCTCTTATAATCATCCGGTATCAAACCATATCTTCAACTGTTATGCTTAATGCACGTCTCCTTAGAATTCCCAATTATTTATGTAAACATTCCATCCATCGAATACATCCTCGATCCCCGACAAAGATTTACGGTTGTTTACACGTCGCGGGTGACAAAATGTGTGCTACGGTACGACACCGCTTAAAAACAGCACGAAATCAGTCTGGCTAACCTGACGGATAGGCTGATTTAGAGTTATGTCAACTGAAATACCGTACATACTTACATTTCCAAAACTAGCCCGTCACCACAAAAATCCTGGGTTCTTTCTCTCCACCTCAAAAACGTCACATAGCCATGCCATTCATCGTGTTCCCTTCGTACTATCATAATATTACTTAAATCCAATGCTGTCTAGGACGGAAAATTACTTCGTTTATATATTCAAACTGCTTACCACTCTAGATACTTTCTAATGATAGAAGATATGGTTATGCCCTAAGGAATAAATGATCGTCAACATGTTGTCTGCGCTGCATGCCGGAAAAAAAATATTCCATAGGCTCGAAAGGAAGATGGTTGCAACGGACAAACTGAAACTACCCCGACGTTGCGATTTGAGGGTAAATCGGCTTTTCGAGAAAATATCGTCAAGTGTAGCACTTGTGGTCTATAGGTAACATGGTCGCCTACAACCCTAAATGACGTCCTAGTCATGACGATAATTCATGACACATTAAAAACTCCACAAAAACCGTAATGTTATGGTGGCCCCCACCCCCTAAGTGTTTAATCGCATTCGCATAATGCGTTTTTACCTAAAATTAACTTCCAATTTAAGCATAAGGACCAACATTTTCAAAATACCCCTTAGTCCCTCAACCCGCCAAAGTAAGAGTCGCAGTAAATTGAAATAGCACTATTGTAAATAAAAATGAAAATTTGAAATCAAAAACGCGTTTATTCGTCTTCACATCCAATCCTCCGTTTTGCAGTTTTTGGTATTTCATTGTAGCTCCAATCATTGGTGACAGTCTCTTTGCTGAACATCCAAAAGGCCTCTTTTGATATATGCATATAATTTTCTTGCATTCATTTTCATAAGTTTTAATAATAAGGAGTCAGTGGATATATAAGGGCATGTTGTATCCGTTGCCAATGCACCACAAAGATCAAGGGAGGATAGTCGAATAAAATTTGGCGGGTGGTTTTCTTTTTCCCAGTAGGTAAAATCAAAAGTTCCTTTTAACACTAGATCTTTTAGACCAACCGATAAGTGTCCAAAGGCAATGCAGTGATTATCAAAGTCATTTCCCTTTGCCTGCGAATTCAAAAGGCACATAAAGAATATGAAAGTCTGTGTAGCATATAATATTACTGTGGGAAACAATAAAACAGATAAGTAACATGCGCAAGTTATCGCCGGCGAGATTGGCACATCTTATTTCATACATAGCTTACATTCTGCATTGCATAAACAACGGCCGTTAGAGATTGAGATAGGCAACTGAATTGCATGTAGTTTGCAGGAGGTACGTCTCGGAAAAATGTGCAGTTGAAAAGTAAAGATGTCTGATGGATTCTCATTTCGAAGTCTATACGCGTGCTTCCAATCAATAGCATATCCTCAAAACTGTGGTGAAACGCTTGTTCTGCGAGGTATTTTGTGACATTATGGAGAATACGGTCACCGCCATCTCGAGGACATTTTGGTATGTCTAGGGGTAAAACGGGTAATGAAATTACTACAGTTGTAATTATTAAAGGCGTATTTCTGTGGAAACGACAAATACATAAATGAGATTAAATTTATCCAGCAAAAAACAAATAGCGAAATGTTCGTACGAAAAGTTTGAGTGGTTTAGTCACTTAAAGTTGCAAGGCAAGAAGACCGGAACAAATTAAGTGTGTGCATACTTTCGTTTATCACAATTTGCGCAGGCTGCGTAGATGCTGCAGGCGAGCAAACTCATGAAATGCAATGAAATTCTGTAATGGGTTTTAGTTTCGAAATAATAAGTCAAGTTGGGTTGTAGAACTTATCATCATGCAGCATGACTCATTTATAAATCAGCTACCCCACGATGCCCGCTTTCGAACGAACCTCTTTCCATCTGCATGGAAAAACTACACTCTGCAAAAAATGACTACATAATCGGCATTGGCTGCTCATAAAACGTCAGATATCTGTATTAACCAGTTTGGCTTGTAAATTTAACAATATGGATTAAATCCACCGTTTTATTTTATGAAATTTATGTATTCTCCTTCTAATACCGTAGAGAAATGTATGTTTTTCCGTACGCGGAAAATAAACGGATTGTAAATTTCGGAACCTGAATAAAAGTGTAACGGCAGGTCGGGCTTAAAATTATTAGGGAACTGGAGGAGATTTTGAAAACCGATTTATGCACTTCCTTCGAGTATAAAAATAAAGGACAACGCAATATTCTACCGAATGATAAACATGAACATTTTAATGCATGTTTTCCACGAAATATAATTGTATATTTACGAGTATCAAAAATCAATGACAACAATGCATGCGGGTTAAGTAGTCATCTTTTGAAGAGTATGGTGAATCAATGCAGATAGAAGAAGGTTTTGTTCACAAGGCGGCAATTTGCGGCAACAGATTTATCATACAATTATGCTGCATGATGATTAGTTTTATAACCCTATTCCATTAATATTTTCAAAACAAAACCCCATTTCGGAATTTTCGTTGACATTTCATGAGTAAGCCCACCTGCGGTAAATATCGCCTAAGAACTTTAGTCTTACTTTCTGTAAAAAAACAGCATTCTGCACAAATGAGCAATAGGCAAAAGGCAACGTGTGAGTTCATTCCTTTCCCATGAAAATGTTATGCCTTATTTCATTAAGTCCTAAGTATTGAGTAACCAACAAGTTATTGATGGTCATCTGATCATTGGCTAGGTATGTTAAAGTACTCTGTGACTGGTCCAACAAATTCTGAATTTGTGATTGTGAATTCTGAACCTTGCCTCCACCTCTCTGCGCCTTGAACTACTGGTCGTGAGGAATTGATGACGATTTATAGTCAATTATTATGGTTACAAATATCCCATAACAGAATCAATATTTTTTTAAATAGTGAATGGTGGTATTTCATGACGAATTTTAATGGAAATTAAAGTTTTGACGGGTGCCAAATAAGCGGCCGCAGCTCTTCCATCACGGCAACCTTACATACTAATGTTTGTTCAGTAGGTGTGCTTGTGGTATTTTTTTGCCGCAGCGGCACTCCCTCCCCATATTCTGCAACCCCCCCCCCCATCAACCCAAAGGCTTACAGCCTACGCCGTCCAAACATAAGATTTCCACTTGGGGCAGCTGCTACCAAAGGCTTCAGGCTCTTAGACCACTGAGGTATTTACATACACTCCTACCGCTCCCTCACCGCCTAGCCCACGCCTTTCCACCTCCCCCCACGGCCTGTCACCTACGCCGTCCCAACATCAATCCCAGCAGTCCCTCTCCCCTTTAGGCAAGCTTACCGCATTTGACAATTCCCTCACCGGCTGTTCCCACTTCCGCCTGTTTCACAGTCTACTGTCCCTCCCACCCGGCTTTGTTAGTTGACCTGATATGCCCTTCCCCGCGGGTGGTTCACGTCGCCAGTTACCAGCTACACCGATTCCTACTTACCGTCTACCATGGCCGGCTGCGGCCTAAGACAGTCTCTTTGCACCTCCCTGTTCCCGCTCTAAAAGCCTTCCGTAATCACTCCCTCCCTGCCCCATAAGGGTTTATCGACAAGGCTTAGTGGATGTCATTGCATTATTCTACGTCGGTAAACATGTTCACGTACCAAGCCTACAGGGTGGTCGATCAGCAGCAATCCTTACCGTGCGATGATGGCTCCGTTACCACTGCTAGAGATACCCGCCCATTCCACAGACAACGTCCGTTCAACTCTTCCATTAGTGATCCATAGGCACCTATCAGCTAACGCAGCCCTGTGGTTGAAATTTACTCAACTGCGTATCACACCTTCTCTCATTCCGGAGGCTTAGCAGCACCGCAAGCAAGAGCAATGCCATAGCAAAATGCAACATTTACTCCGAATTAGGAAAAGGAACAATACACTAGACAAACAGCGTAGTAGGGAAAATCGTCCCCGACTGCCTTCGGCAGCCGGCTTGCCACATCAGTAACATTTAACATTTAGGTGTACTACAAAAGGGTATGCGATTACACGCATGCAATACAATGCCATACCCCCTATCAACCTGGAGGAAGTATGGAGTCTTCCTTTTACGTCTTCCATCTGCGCCTTCGTTGGTTAGCTTCTCCAATCGCCGACGGGTGGATCTCCTCAATCGACAGTTCTCCCATCGCCAGCAGGTAACGGCCACAGGCACTGTAGTTAGGCATGGAGAGTAAGTGGACGAAGTACAGAGTCATACCTTCCAGTCTTCCGTCTGCGCGTTCGTTGGCTAACTTCTCCAATCGTCGATGGTTGGCTCTCCTCAATCGACAGCTCCCTCTTTGCCCGACCGGTAACGGCCAGAGGCGCTGTAGGTAGGCATGGAGAGTAAGTGGACGAAGTACAGAGTCATACCTTCCAGTCTTCCGTCTGCGCGTTCGTTGGTTAGCTTCTCCAAACGTCGATGGTTGGCTCTCCTCAATCGACAGCTCCCTCTTTGACCGGCAGGTAACGGCCAGAGGCGCTGTAGATAGGCATGGAGAGTAAGTGGACGAAGTACAGAGTCTTTCCTTCCAGTCTTCCGTCTGCGCCTTCGTTGGTTAGCTTCTCCAAACACCCTTAGTTGGCTCTCCTCAATAGACAGCTCCCTCTTTGACCGGCAGGTAACGGCTACATTCACTGTCCGTAGGCATAGAGAGCAAATGGAGGAAGTAACGATTCTTACATTCACGTCTTCTGTCTGCGCCTCCATTGGTTAGCTTATCCAGTCACCGTTGGTTGGCTCTCTTCAATTGGATACGCTTCTGCCCAATGTCGTAGGAAGGTTTCCCAGGAGGCTGCCATGTTGTCGTTCCTTATGTCAAACCAGAGGCGGTACTGAACCTCATCTAGTTGGGCCCACACTGTTCTGTTACAGCCAGGTCCATACTCCTGCATCTTCTTCTTTAACCTGCTCCAGTAGGCCTCTATGGCGTTCGTATGCCGTCCTGTTGTGGGATTCACGAAGCCCCTACGGTGGTCGACAGTGTAGTGCTTATAACGTTCCGACGGTAGGTGGGTGCAACCCTTCCACTCATCGGTTACGATAACACTGCCAGCAGCCACCCACTTCCTTATGACGGGCCTTAGGGCCTCCCAGCTGCGGTTGTCAATCTGCTCAAATAGGGCTTTCCGCCTGCGTGTATCGTACATACCGACGACCCACAACTGCCGCCGCGGTCGTCCCCTGTTATACTTGCGGCGACTTATGAGCGTCTCGTCTATCTGTACTTCCACGCCTGGTCCCCCATTTGGGTTACGGCGGATAGAAGTGCGTGTGAGCAGGCCCCGCGGCAAATGCCGTACCATTCCATGGCAGTATTTCTACTGACACCTTCACTTGCCGCACACCGCTTGGCCCGCACACCTTCGACAAACTTGTAGCATATACGCATCAGTGTCTGCAGACTGAGCTTACTACCAACGAAAATTGATCCCGTCCGCCGGCACCGCTTCCGTCTGCAGTGTCCACAACGGAATGCATAACCGTCCGTATGCTGCCGCAACACTTGCATATGCTCAGTACGCCGACATCGGCATGCTAAGGTGGTGGCCAGCAACCTCCACCGCTGCAGGTACTGAACGACACCTGCTGACGGAAGGACAGCTTGTATTTCATCCTCGGCCGTCGGTATAATCCGCTGAGGACCGCGCCTACGTCCGCCTGCATTCGGTGACGATCTAGATATAAAACAGTAGGAGTTTACGATACTGCTGCTGTCAACTTAAACATATCCCCTACCCCTCTTTTCCCTTATGTGTGCCTAGATATATCATGGTACACCTAAGAATGAGGTTTAGTTGAATTACCGGTTGTTTATAGATAGTAGACCATCATGCGGTCTGTGCTAACTACTCGAACATACCGTAACTTTCTCCGCATTTTCTCACACAACTTATACCCACCCGCAATATGCTCTGCGGTTAAATTTAAACTTAAAAGGGTTACGTAGGCCTACAAACTGCTCCCAACATGGATACTTACAAATCCCGTAAAACAGCGACCTTACACACAGCGGCCGCCAAGTTCGGGAGTTTGCCGACTTGCTGTAGGTTGGCGCGGTGGCGTTGGAGTACGTCCAGGTATCCTAAACATTTTTCGCGTTATACGTATTAAACGGTGCAGGCGGTGGAGACCCCCGATATAACAAATAGGGAGGGGGTGACTAGGGGGTCAGAAAGGGGCTGGGAAGTGACGCAGTTGTCATAAGACGTTTATTCAAAAACCCTTACCCAACCGAAGTACGTCGCTGTCTCCTCGCGTCCCCCTTGCGCATCGTCTGTTTGCCGTCCAACTGATGCACACCACTTTCAAGTGTGGCGCCAACGATCCCATTGGTTAGCCGCTTGCCTACGGTTTTCCCTATTTGCGCGCCATCCTGCGGTATTTTTGACTTCATTTAAAAGAATAATTATTTTTCTGCGATTTCCAACATTTTCGACATCCAGCTGTCAATCCAGTGCCCTCTGCTGTTTACCCCGCCCGTTCTTCTCCTCAAAACCGCCATCCCGTTGGACCCGACCGACCTAGAAAAGTTTTCTCACTGTGGCCGCCTGTTGGGCTTAAGCCAAAGTTTTTTTTTGTAAAAGAAAACATGCATTACATCTTATTCAATTAATTGGCCCTTGGCAGTTATTTCGCCCTTCCCATTTTTATGGTGAGCCATTCTCTTCGTGGCAAAAATCCTGCTAACTCCTACAGGAAATCCATTGATCGATTTACAGTACCTGTGCTAACTCATGAAATGTCACGAATTAACACAGGTTAACGCCTTTAACGCAAAATCGGTAAACACTACGGCTTCCAAAGTCTGATAGCGGAAAATAAACGATGTGCCAAAGAAATAAAGCAAAGTTTGGTTAAGAAAATATTATTTACTGAGATAAAAATAAATAATTTTCGATAAAAGTCACATTTTCGAAAAACGCCTATATTACAACCAAGTTAATAAAGGCTACGTATGAGGACGTATAAAGGAGGAGGGCACATAAAAGGTCAAAAATAATTAAGGACAGAAACAGATAAAAAAAATTAGTACTTTGTAGATTGTCCATTCGAATTAATAACAGCAGAAAGTCTGTCCGACATAGACATGACAAGGTTATCTATGGTGGATTGTAAAATGTAATTATTGAGTATGAAATCCAATTTTTCCTGCATTGAAAGAGTCTTCTTAGCTTTGTGCCAATTTCTTTTGACTATTCCAAAAAGATTTTTGATTGGATTAATGTCGGGACTGTTGGCCGGGATGAAAATGGATTGGAGGCCAATTGCGGAGAGCGTGGTTGTTGTCTAAAATGTTAGATTATGTTTGCAAGCGGCATCAAATTCGTACCTCTTTAGAGCGGTGGACAGGTGCATTGTCCTGCAAAATTACAGTATCCATTCGGCGCCGACTTATGCCGTTGTAGCCGAAAGCATCCTTGACAATTGCAATGAACACCTTGCTGTTGATGGTGTCGGATGTTGACCGCCAGACAGGCCGCTCACCGAATTTAATCGCCATCCAAACCATCATCCGCCGACAGTTCTTGAATGTTGCCGTCGGTGTAGTATGTTCTCTTGGGAAGTTCTTTCCACATATGACAGTTTGGAGCGACTTCGTAGGCTTGTCTAAAAATAGAACCTCATCGCAGAAGAAAATGCTCTTCCAAAATGAAGATCTGTATTCAATATAATTCTTAGCAAATAAAAGCCGTTCTCTAATTAGTTTTCTACTTAAATATGGCTTAATTATGGCCTTCCGCCGCTGCAGTTCAAATTCCTTCATCCTTTTTCTAATGATGTTCATAGAAAACATCGGCAGATGTTCCCGCTGAATGGCCTCAATGGGCATGTAATGAAACTTTTTTAATGTACGACGAATAAAATCGTCGTCTTGCTTACTTGTGGCCCGTTTTGGTCCCCCTATCTTATTTCTAGGAACAGTTTTATCATTAATAATGCGCCACAGAGTGACCTTGCTAATATTGAAAATATTAGCTAACGACTCACGCGGGATTCCTTCCGCCGCTAATTTTCGAATGCGCTGGAAGTCAACTTCGGATAAGTATTGTTTTGACATAGTTATCGTTTGGCGTGGCAGAGCAAAGTGACGGCATGTCGCGCGAACTCAATATATATTCGTTTACGACACGCATTTTCAGTCTGGTAAAACAATCACACTGATAAACTTTTTATTTCGGTATTTTGAAACATAAAACTTTACGAATTTGTAAAATAGAATTTTTAGATAAAGAATCGCACGTTATTTCCTGAACACAATAAGAACTAATTTATCTGCATTTCCCTGATTTTGTTGATATTGAAATTTAATTTTTTTCTTTTTGTTCGAAAGTTTGTCAAAAAATTTCGTCCTTTTATTAATCTTCTTAAACATATTAATAAGGTTACACAAAGAATTTCCATCCGAAAGCTTTAATAGCGTAGGAAACTGCTTGAATATCAGGAATCCTCCGATTTCGCCTTAATCCGGCCCGTTTTCTATTTAATATACAGATCCGTATCAAACTTTCCTTCAGAAAACAGTCTTTTCGTCCTTATTTCAACCAAATAAACACAAATAACGACACCAAAAATACACTACATTGTCCACTATAATTTTGACCTCGGCATTTCATGAGTTAGCACAGGTACTGTATGTATTTACTTTTTCAGGAGAACTGTAGCGCAACTTGGCTGGGTCGCATGATAGCAACCGAATAATCAACAACCTGATGAACCTGCTTTTTATAAAACATATGTAATTTTGTAAGCAAATAGAAAGTTCATGTCTAAGGTCATACAACGAAGGTTGCATCTCCCACCAAGTGTCATTTTAGCATGCAGCTGTAAAGAGATGCATTCAAAATATCGCACCTTAGGAAGGCGAAATGCCTTGATGTTATACTGAGCGGTTAGTTACATTGCAACGCTACCTATGCAATAATTCTCAAATAAAAATGCACTGGAAACTGCCACCTGGCACTACATAAAGTTGGTCATCTAATTTAAATGATTCGTCAGGTAAATACAGTGTTGGGTATTACGTTGATGACTGTTAGGCAATCTGTAAATTATTAAACCCTATAAGTAGATGGGTGTGTTATAAATATGTGCGCCTCATAACTTCAATAAATATAATTCAAAATGCCCCGCCAGGTTCCAGTACTTAATTATTTCGATTCCAAAACTGGGTTGTTTTTAGAAACCTACGTATGCATTCCTGTGTTTTCTGGCGTCGTCTAGCTTAATTGGGAGGAAGGCCAGTGGATTTGCATCGGCGCATTTGCCGAGATGCGCGGTGGCACACTAGAATCAACATGGCTAAACGTGCAGTAGGTGGGCTTAATCATGAAATGTCATGTAATTGCCTGTTGGAAAGGGGAAACAGGTTGAGAGTTGACAGTCTGGTTTCGTAGGGATAGGGTTATGGCTAGGTTCTAGCGTCAGGGTAAGTGTTAGGTCTTGGGGTTAGGGTTAGGTTTTAGGATAAGAGTTAGGTTAAGGGTTAGGACGAGGTTTTAAAGCTGCGATTAGGCTTATGTTTAGGGTAAATCGAAGGGTTAAAAATACTTTTAGGAGTAGGTTTAATAGCTAGGATTAGGTTTAATTGTTAGGATTGCGGTTAGGATTAGGGTTAGGTTTAGGGTTAAGTTTAGGGTGGGGGTGTGGGTTAGTGTTAGGTTTTAGGGTTCGTTTAAGGATAAGTACTAGGATAAGGTTTTATGGCTCGGGTGAGGATTCAACGTTAGGTTTGGGGTTAGGTTTTAGGATTACTGTTTAGTGTTTGGTTTTAGGGTGAAATTTTTAGTTTTGGTGTTTCAGGTTGGATTAAAGTTCCAGTGTTATCTGTTAGGATTAGGTTTACGGTTTGGGTTTAAGGTTAGTTCTTCGGGTTTGTGTTGGCGGTTAGGGTTACCGTTAGGTTTTAGGTTTAAGTTTTGCTGTCTTGGCGATCATTTTCGACCTCAGTCTTCCCCCGCCACTGCCCTCCCCGATCACACCGTCCCTGCAAGGCCCTATGTGCGTTACTTACATAAGTCTGCCTCGCCTTTCATGACGCTCTAACTACCGCCTCTTCGTTTTCTGATGAGGAAACTTAGCATAACAAGTGTTTGGATATTAAAGACTCGTTTATTGGTACCCTTATCAAAAACCCTTCTATTCGGTTTCAGTGGCTGTCCTACTAGTGCTTCGTTGACGTCTGCGCTTCTTCCACACGGTCTTCTTGTTTGCCCTTCATGCATTCGCCTGCTAAGTAGTTGGTGTCCGCTTCCCTTCCTCAGTGTCTCCTGTGTTGACTGAGTAGGCCTCGGTTGCGTGTCGC